TGACCTACATCTGACACTCTGTGTAACAAGCAAATGGAGAGGAATGGTGAAAAGTTCTTGCTATGTCAGCCCATGTTGGTGGACATATCGGCAGTCATACCCTATTGTTCCAGCTGAGTCAGTTGGCAGCCATGGAATGACAACTTCACCGTGCGTGGGGAGTACCCAAGTTCTAACCTTGACAAATGTCTATTTGATATGCTTTCATTTTTGGTTAAGTTTTATTTTTTTTTTTTTTTGCATTTCATGAAACTCTTAATTTTTATCAATCTGAACTAAATAGTTATTAGAGGGGGGGATGTTTAAAAAATTAAGTAACGTGATTAAAAAAGACGGGGATGGTAGCAGAAAAGAGGAGAGGTGGGAGGGGCGACTTACAGGGAATTACAATTTCATCAGCAGTACTTAATTTTTTAAAACCCCACTAGAGCAGAAATAGTTTACTTAAAAGTCCTTATCCAGTTTAAATTTCTCAGATTCTCCGTATGTACTTTCCAAATACATCATTTGGTAGGCATGGTGGTACACATCTGCATGTAAAAATAAACCAACCATCAAATTAGGGTTTTTTCCCTATCCAATTTGTTTCTGGTTCCCCACAAACAAAAGGCCTTGGCTATAGATTGACAAGGTTGTTCATGTTCCTAAATTAATTCTCTGGTTTATGAGGAAATGCAATCCTGAAGTCTATAAAAAGAAAAAAAGCAAATGTAAATAAGGAGCCATCACTTTATACTTTGTACCCCAAGATATGTCAGTTATTATCTTGAAATGTTGCTCCTTCCCTTCAATGAAGACTCACCATCCAGAAGCCCGAGGGTAGCTAGAGTGAATTCATTTTATTCCCCCTTCATTTTACTGTGTCAATATAGAAGGCTGGTTAAGAACATACGTTTAGGAGTCAAACATCCCTTAGTTTGTATCCTGACTCTACTGATTATTAGCTGTGTGATCATGGGCAAGTTCCTAAACCTCTCTGAGAGTTGGTCATCACATCTGTAAAATAAGAATAACAATAAATTACCTCAAAGTAATGGAAAGAATAAGTGAGATGAGTAGGAAGTACTTAACATAATGTCTCATCCAGTGTCTCTGCCAAGTATTTTTCTATTTCCAAAATAATCATCTTATTATATATATATTTTTTGAGCACTTACTCTATGACAGCTTCCCCCCCCACCACAAAAAGATTATGTCTGACTCTCCCAGCAATGCTGTAAGGAGTGGGGGAGCTCTCTCATTTTACAGCTGGAGAAATTATGGCTCAGAGAGGTGAAGTGGCCTAATTGAGGTCACACAGTGAATATAGACTGAGCAGAAGTTGAAACAGACACAGTCAACATCAAAGCCTAAGCTCTTTCTACCAGACTGAGATGGCGCTCTCCGGGACACCCACTCCTATGGCATTGTGTGCCCCAGGGTGGGATAAAGAAAGAGAAAGCCAGGCAGTTTTGGAGGTCTCCAAACCTCCCTGTTTAGAATAAATCCCCCAATTGTGCTTGAAGTTGGACAAGCTTTTGAAACCTCAACTGGACATTCTTTTCCCATCAAGTTCCTTGAAATTTCCCTTTAAAGAGCATCTAGGAAAAGCCACTCTCATTAGCCAGGGTCTGGCTTTATTTTCCTCATAAACAGACCTTTCGTTAGACAAAAGAGCCTCTTTTATTTTCAATCAATTCTTGAACATTTCAGCTGATTCTCTTCTATTTGGCTTGAAATTGTGATCTGGGAATGGCTGGTCCTGCAAATTGTCCTCCTATATGGGAAGCCCCTTGAGGATCCTCAACTTGTTATTTTTAATCACTGTAATCTCCTTGTCAAAGGAGGCCATGGTCAGAAACAGAGCAGGCCTTTCAGAGATTTCTAAAGCACAGTTATTGCCAAGGGAGGGGGGATAGGGGGAAGAGGGAGGGAGAGTAGAGAGAAGTGGTGGGAGAGAGAAGGAAGTCAATATAGTACTAACAACTCAGAAAAGCCTGAATAATAATCTCCATTGGATTCTGGCTGCTGAGAAGAAATCTCATCTCATCTCATCTCATCTCTCTCTCTCTCTCTCTCTCTATATATATATATATATATATATATAGTTTTTTAACACAGTGCCCATTTTAATCCAGTGTAGAATACCTAAAGGAGATCCTGGGTGGGGGGCATGGAGAGCAGAAGCTACTCAGGGATGAACAGAAATTCTGGAGACAAAGATTTCAGGCAGGAAAACAAGCCATTGATACCAAGGCTTGTGAGGGGCTCTAACTCAAGAAAAAGTAAAAAAGCAACCAGAACACCAGAGGAATGTTAACTCCCACGGCCCTGAGTCAATACCCTGAACAGAATGCATTCGATTTACTTTTAACATAATTATTCTAAGAAAGTATAAGCCAACAGCAAATGTCGCAAACTAACTAGGCGAGCACCCTTTTCCTCCTAACTTTGAGTGGCGGAATCAGGTTTGCTAATCTCAGGGTATTTGCTCAGAAGGCCCGAACATGGTTCCTGCAACATCTTCCTTCCAAGATCTCTCAGGCATCAGAAGGGAGAAAAGGAGACTGCCGGCCAATAGCCCTAGTGAGGAGTCACAGTCCAAAAGGCTAATGATTAGGCTGGAAAAACCTGTCCGTGGAAGTCTGGTGCCCCCCACCACCAGTCGGAGTTCTCACCTCCAGGTCATGGACACTTTGCCAATCATGAGAATACCAGGGGCCTCTACTCCCCAGGGTTAGGGTACCTGCTGCCCATGCTCAGCCCAACAGGGAGGATTTGGGTGGGAAGAAATGCCTGGTAGGACAGGGGCATGGGCCCCTCCACTTGCCTAAATCACCTAAAAATATCCTCTTGGGCTTATACTAAGAACAGTCTTGGGCTAGTACAAAAAAATCATTAGTTCAGTCATTCCATTAATTCATGAGGACCCAGATAGCCACCATTCACTTGTAGATTGGCCTAAGGAGTGCTGAGAACACCTACTTTTAATTACATACACACACATCAAAATCAAATCTGACTAGGCACATCCCTCTGTTATTAAACAAAAAAGGGCCTCATATCCAACTCAAGCAAACATGTCCTGGGCACCTCGGGCGACTCATCTTTGTTATCTCATTTACTCCTTACAACCACCAGAGCAGCTGGGTAAATAGCTACTTCCACTGTTGGGAAATCAGTTCAGAGAAATTAAAGGACTTGCGCAAGGTCACACAGCTACTAAAGCCGAGTCCGTCTGACTCCAAAGCTGCCTCTTTCCCCGCCACGTGGAGCTTGGGCGGGTTCCCCAGGGAAACCAGGTCCTGGGTTTTTGGTGAGGCCTCAAGAGGCCAATAGGAGTACTCCCGCCTCCCTCTGGCCCACGGAGAGGACTGGCTGTCTCCCAGCTCCTCGGAAAGGCTGAGGCCGCACCCGCAAGCCCCGCTACTCCGCGGGCTCCCTTCCCGGGTTGGGCCGGGGGTTCCTTCTGCGCGCAGTACGGAGGGTCCCGCTGGCCTGTGCGCGGGGGTCAGAGGGGCTCGCCACGCGCTGAGCGCTGCTGCGTGCGGGGGGCGCCCGGACGCCGCTCTGGGAAGCTCCAGGTGGACAAAGTCTGGGACACGGTCCCGGGGACATGATCCGGGAAGCGGGAGGAGCGTTCAGAGAAGGGTAGCGGCTGCTTACGGTGGCCTGTGCGGCGGGTGCGCCCGCTGACAGTGGCCCAAACTTTCTCCAGGGCTCTCCACCGCTTCCTGCCGCAGAGCTCTGGGAATCCGGAAGGCGGGGATGCAAGGGCGGTGGCCTGGAGCCCACCAGCTGCCCCCAAGACCCTCTCTTACCCGCGAGGCGCCAGGGCTGCCTTACCGAGAGGCGAGGGGCGGGGGGGGGGGGGGGGACAAGCAGCCCGTCACTCCCCACCCGCGGAGCCCCAGGTGAAACCGGGGCAGGCTTCCTTCCCTGCCCCAGGTCCTGTCACCCAACTGGAGAACGGCGGCTGCTGCGCGGGTAAAAGATGTCTAGGAGAGATGCTGGGCTGCGGAGAGAGGTGGTGGGAGGTGGGGATGGAGTCAGGGGGCTTTAGGTCTGCGCGGTTCGAGCGGCTCTCCTACCCAGGAGGCGCTCACCTGCCTGGACATCCCCTCCCCGCGCCCATGAAAGCCCGCGCTTGGCGGAGGAGTGTAGGCGCGACATCCCCCCCGCAGCAGAACCTCGGGGTGGCTGGAGCCAGGATGCTCCGGCCTCCAGGGAGCAGGTCTCGGGAATTTGGGCTTCCCTTTCCGTCTCCACGGGGTTTCCCTTCCCATTCCGAACCCTCACAGCGTTCCTTGGAGGCCCATTCCATTGGGAGCCTGTCCTAGAAATCCACTCTTCTCCTTCGCCTGGGACCATCGGAAAATAATTTGGAGTTCTTTCCGAGGGCCCTTCCCAAAGCTTCAGACTCTTCCTCCTCTCCTCCCCGTGCCCCGGGACCAGTCAAGGGAGAAGCCTATGTCCCTTTTCCTGAAGGCGTCTGTTCGAGGAAGCTGGAGTGACCGTCCCGGGGGCTGGTCTCAGAGAAGCTGGTATCCTCCCCTTCAGGGGTGGGAGAGGGGGAAGCTTGTCCCCCACCTGGTCTGGGACCCGACAGAGAGAAATCAGGGTTCCCTCCACTCCAGAGGCGGATCTGGAGGAAGACGGGTTTCCACTGGTCTCCCGGAGCGGGCTAGGGGGCGGGAGGGAGGGGGGAAGCCAGGTTGCCTCCCAGCCAGGCCGGCGTGGCGCGTAGCTCGGCTGCAACCCACGCCCGGGGACCGCGCTTCGGAACTGGGGCTGCACCGCCTGGCTGCGACCCCCGCGACGGCCCCGGACGCTGGCCCGGGAGCCGCACAGGGTTCGCGGCGACAGGGGCTGAGGGCAGCCAGGACAGAGGGCCCCTGCTGGGCTCCGCCGGCACCGTGCGCCCAGGGACCGTGCGCCCTCCTCCGGCGCCGCGCGGTCGGCGCCCTTCCGGGGGCCGGGGGCCGGGGGCCGCGCCCCCGGCGCCACGCGGGGCCACTTACCTCGGTAGCTGGTTCCCGGCTTGTAGAAGTCGGGGTCGCCCTCCACGCGGAGGCTGAACTCGGTGTAGCCCTCGCGCCGCGTGCCCTGGGCGCGCAGGATGCGGCTGCAGTAGCCCTCCGACTTGGGCACTTTGTCCAGGGTCTCGTCGGAGAAGGCCAGCGCCGCGGCCAGGGGCAGCGCCAGGGCCAGCAGCGCTGGACTCCGACTTAGCCTCAGGGGCGCTGGGGCCAGCCTCATCCTCGCGGGCGCTCAACTTTGTGCGACTGCCGCCGGCCCTCGCCACGCGACGCCTGCCCGAGGGTCCCCGTAGAAGCGAGACCCGGCGCAGCCCGGGCGAGGAGCGGGAGCTCGGAGCCGGCGCTGGCAACCGGGAGACCTTGCCGGTCTCGCCTTGGCGGCTGCGGAGCTGCGCCGCGCTGCGCTGAGCTGAGCTGAGCTCCCGAGCCGCGCGAGGAAGGGAGGGCGGCGGCGTAGGGGGAGGAGGGCGGGCTGATCTTGCCCAGATCCCTGAGCGCAGCGCTGTTTTGTTTCCGAGCGGGCGATTAGCGGCGCGGCGGTGTTTGTTTTGCGACGCCGGATTCCCAGGGTCTGGGGAGGAAATCATAAGGCACGGGGACGCGACGGGTTCTGTCCCACCACCAAGGAGGCTGAGGTCCCCACCCCAGCTACACCTTTGCACCCTGCGCGGTCGAGTGCTCCAGGGAGGGAAAGACTGAAAACTAACTTTTGTTGCACACCTACTTGCTCCTACCAGTATGCTGGGTGGTTGGCGAAGGGTATCTGCTCCACTCTACACTCTCCACTCTCCCTGCGCACAGCAAACAGGACCGCACTTTCACTCATTTTACAGATGAGCAGACTGAGGCCTGCTGCTATGAACAGTTAAGTGAGGGTCGGATGCCATGACTGTTTGACTCTATTGCTCTTTTGGAGCAGGTCAGACTGGAGGATGAGAAAGGAGCCGCATGACTCACCCAGCTGCGCCCAGTAGGCACAGCGCCTACGGCCTGAAATATTTTTGGAGACTCCTGAAAATATTTTCTTTGAAATCAGAAGAAGAAGAAACCATTTAGGTCTAATAAAATGTTATCCTATATAACGTTAATGTATTTCTACTTATACCTACACAGTCATAAAATAGAATGTTTACTATTGTTTTATGAAGGAAAGAGACCCCCCAGACCCCAAAGACAAAAGTGCCCAAGGCCCGGGTAAGTCCTCATGTAGCCCTAAAAAGGAGTTTCGAAAGGTTCAAAGAAAAGTCTGTTTTCTTGGCTTAGAGTTTGGTTCAGGTTCTCCGTCCCCAGGAACCGATGTTTAGAGAGGAACGGAGCCTGAGGCATCAATCCGAAAGCCAGACGGGAAAAGGCCCAGGTGAAGGAATCGCTCCCAACGTTTCCCTGGGGACAAACTTGAAACAAACTTTAGTCCCGCCCCTCACCTACTGTGAGGCCTTGGCTATTTATTTGGTCTGGAGGGACCTGTGTGAGCCTCCAGGCTAATAACGCCCTTCCTCTAGGCGGTGCTACAGTTCCAGGAAATGACCCAGATAAAACACCAGGGCTAGCCTCCAGGGCTCCCCGCCTGCATCCCCATGGGTAGGTCTGGGCTGGTTCTGGGTACCACAGCACGGAAGACCAGGCCCACGGGGGAGATGCCTTAAGGCCCGTGCCTCCCCTCAGTGTGCACAAGCAACCCTCTCCAGGTGCTTTCATGAGTTTTAGTGACCCCCTTTTCCTCCCCCTGGGTCATCAACACATCTTAAGGGCCTACATTTATAAAGCAATCCCCTTTGTTTTCCTGGTCAGGCTTTTCCTTTTGACGTCACTAACAAATAGCTCGGAAGAGCTGTCTGCACTGGAGATCTCCATTTGTCCACACCTGCTCACTTAACTTTTCAATCTGTGTCCTGGGACTCCCACTGAGACTGTTAACTGGGCACCCTCTCGAAAGTCACCCACAAGTGTCCCCTTACTGAAGCCAGTTCTGCTCTTTTCTCAGTCCTCACCTTCCTTGACCAGCAGCTCCTGATCCAGCTGACCAGCCCTCCTTTATACAGGTGACACTCGGATTCACGTCTGTGTCCCGAGTGAATTATCTCCGTGTCACTGGCTGGGGCTGATGCTAGATTCCGTGGTGCACAGTCCCAGTCATCCAGATGCTTCTGCTGAGTGCAGATTTGGGGCCCAGTCTGTGCTGAGCAGCGGGCACCACTGAAAAAATTCATTCATTCATTCATTCATTCGTTCATTCATTCATTCATTCATTCATTTATGTTGAGGGCCCTCCATGTGCTCAGCGCCAGGAGGCAAGATAGACTTATTACTTGTCTTCATGGATCTTACAATTCAGTGAGAAAAGGAAACACTGAATACATAGTTACCGAATCTTTTCAAGTTATACTTGTGATATATGCTACAAACTAAAATAAGTACTGTGTGAGATTTTATCTCAGAGGACAGCAGTGAGTATACAGGGATGCATAAAATGTGGCTCCTGCCTTTACAGATCTTACTCTATGTCCAAGAACCCAAATACATGCTCTTTTCATGTAAATCAACGTATTCAAATCTAACATGGATCTGGGCAAGGATGGAGTGGGCAGGGATGTAAGAGTTATATTTTTTATTAAATGTTGACAGGAAAACCATGTCAAGAAGGAGGTCCATTTCCCCTCCTGCCTCGTTTCCCAAACTAGGAACCTATAAAGTCTCTTGTCTAGGTGCCACAGCTAGTAAGGGGAAAAGATGCAAGATTCAAAATAGGTCTCACCGAGCACCGGAATGGGGTCCTTCCCACTATGCAGTGCTAACCTTGTCATCTGGGCTATGACAGCAGGCTCTAAGCGGTCCAACTGCCACTTTCCAAGCTAGATTTCCCAGCCCAGCTCTGCTGCCACATCAGACCTCTGTTCTCTCCCCACACATCCAATCCATCACCAAGTTTCACCTTCTAACTACCTCTTGAACCTGTCCATTTCTCTCCCTCTCCTCTGCCACCACACCAGTCAGGTGTCACCATCTCTCAGCATCCTAATTGGGCTGCCCATGTCCACTCTTGTTTCCTTTCAATATGCCTTCTGCACAGAAGCCCAAATGATCCTTTTTAAAAATGCAGATTTGAATGTTAATTCCAAGGTTAAAATCCATTTCAGTGGCTTTTTGGGGCTCTCAGAAGAAAGAAAGAACCTTCAGCATGGCCTCCAATGCTCTCCGGAATCCTCTCCGGCCATGCACCCCTTCTGTCTCAGGCTCCAGTCACCAGGGCTCCCAGGTACTCTGAGCGTGCGCCTGTGCTGTTCTCTCTGCCTGGTGCCCCACGCTCGAGTCTCTCCCACCTGCCACAGTCCCCAGCCAACTCCTGAGCCTCTTCAGATCTCTGTGCAAAACAGCTTCTTCAGAGGAGTCCTTCCTGATTGCCTATTTATATGCTCCTCTTTATATGCTCTCCGGGAATTGGATATATTTTCTCTTAATATTCTCAAGATTTATAATTCCATATTCATTTTTATGTTTGATTTTTACATTGTGCACTTATTCCACATCTGCCTCCATCACTAGATTCTAAGCTCTGTAAGGGTAGGGACTGCCTCTGTGGTTCAACACCCTATTCTCCATGCACATCATGTTCTAGGAATAAAAAGTCTTTCACAGCCCAAGTTCTTCAAGTGACCTTCAACGCCCTCCATGATTTGGATATAGATCCCAGACTAAGCTCTCAGAGCTGCCAGCTGGGTTTCCTGTGGTCCCCCGCTTTCAGTCCTACCTTAACATCTTTGCCAGTAGCTTCTCATCACCTAGAATACCTTCCCCTCCTACGACCCATTTATATTCTCTCCTCCATGGAATGAGATCCTGCATTCTCTCCTCTGGACTTCAGTAGAACTTACAAAGAGAAAGTTTTGTATTTTGACTGTTGTGTTCTCGTGGATCATCATGAACTGTTTCGTGTGTGTCTGAGTCTCATCTCTTAGCTATGAATCCACTTTACTTTCTACGTAATTTCCTGTTCAGATGTTTTGTTCCGCTGTAAAATACACTGGACTTCAAGAAATCTCTTTCCAGTTTTGTAGCCTAAGGCAGAGCTGATGTTAGTTGCTAGGGTGTTGCTAGGGAAAGTCATTTAGCCTGGGCAGATAATTAACTTTATCAGTGTGTGTGGGTAAATCACAGAAAAGAAGAGCTGGGGGCCCTACTTATCCAAGACCCTCCCCAAAAAAGGAAAAAAAAGAAAAGAAAAAAATTCCTTTGGTAAGAGGTAAGATCAGCCTTTTTTTTTTTTTCCCTTTAAGAGAGAAGGGAAAAAGAAGTTTCTAGATAGTGTTTTTCAGAGTATGTCCACTGAAACACCAGCACTAGATCTTTGCCTCAAAAGCAGGTTCGAGAATCCCACCCCAGACCTATTGAATCTGCACTTCGAACAAATTCAAGTCAGAGTTTAGGAAACCACTGCCTCAGACTTGAAATGCAAGGGTTCTAGTCTGGCTTTCCCACATTTGGCTATGCGAAGTTGAGTGCTCTTGGCATCACAGGACCAGCTTAAACTATTTTCAGTGTACAAAATTGGAAATAGTAACACCCATTTTGCCTTCATCCTGGGGTTTTGAGAAATAAATGGGTAACTGTGGTAGTATTTTGTAAACCTCAAAATGACTTAATGCAAAAATTAGTATTGTTACTCTCATTAATTTAGAACAAGAATCGGGAAATACCTATGCTTCTCTAACTCCTAGAGTTATACTCAGAGGCTTCCATGGAAAGGGGTTTCTAGAAAAAGAAAGTAGATAGATAATAACAGAAGCTGAATCACTGTGAAAAATCTATTTGTAACCTTTCATGCGGAAAAGCTGTCTACCGGTGAGCCAATATGTTTCGGGACTAAGTTATGGAAGATAGAAGATGAATACAAGAAGTAAAATTTTTAGGGGTATCTGGGGGGTTTAGTTGGTTAAGAGGCCAATTCTTGATTTGGCTCAGGTCTTGATCTCACAGTGGTGAGATCAAGTGAGTGTTGGGCTCTCAGCTCAGCAGGGACTCTGCTTCTCTCCCTCTCTCTCTCTTCCTCTCCCTTTGCCCCTCCCTCCACTTGTGCACTGACTCTCTCTCATTCTCTCTCCTAAATAAATAAATAAATCTTTAAAAAAGAAGGAAAATTTTTAAAAATTATAAAAGAAAAATCAAATGGGGCACCTGGGCAACTCAGTCAATAGAGTGTGTGACTCACAGTCTCAGGGTTGTAAGTTCAAGCCCCATGTTGGGTGCAGAACTTTCTTTAAAAAAAAAAAATCAATTAACTGAAGAGATATTTACCTAGCACCTGCTGTGTTCCAGGCATCAGCCATATCCTATGGAACGACCCTACCTTTGGAATTCTGAAGCTGATTGGGTCCATATCACAATTCCACTCAAGTTGTGAGGTCTCTATTCACCTGATCTCTCCAGTCCTTTGACCTCCACTCAG